GGTGACAACAATGATTGGACAAACGGGAAAGCCGCCAAGCTGATAACTGTGTGTTCATTGCGCGCGATCATAACGGTTTCAACTGCTTATTTCGTTATTTTAGAGACTTTCATTAACTAAGGGATAGAGTTGGGGTGGGGATGGGGTGGGGGTGAGGGGCTCAAGCCCGTAAGCCCTTCACTACCCACCGCCACTGACACTTCTAATATTCTGCACTTATGATCTATTCGTGTTGCAAGTACCTTAAAACTTACTCAAATTACAACTAATTTTAAGGAGGAGAGGGTGGTGGCGGCGGGTTCATCGAAAAGAGGACAACATTTTCTATTCAAACAAAATCTGGATTTTTTCTATGCCAGAGATATTTAGCTCGTGTCAGGCCAAGAACGCTTTTGATTTTTTAAAGAAATATATCCTCTGTACAAAACTTGTCAATAAATTATAGCTTGCAAAAGTCTCATACATGTAGTTTCAAGTACATCCAGAACGAAAAAGATATTTGAAATAAATTAATGCATTTAATGTTTTCTTCCTACTCTGAGTATTAAACCAATCGCTTAAGAGACCGTATTGACACCGATGTATTTTCGAGCCCATTTCCGTCAGATGAAAGTGTGCTCAGGTTGCGCGTTCTTTTCTGTAAAAATCTGGGTCATGAAGACATTTATAATAATGCCTCTGCGCTTTCCCCCACGTAACTATCCGTATACAAAATTATACATATACCAGACTATCCATATACCCGACTACCCATATGCACAACAGTCCATGCCCAACTCTCCATATTATACCCGACTAGCCATATGCATGACTGTCCATATCCTACCATTCATATTCATGTCCACCCAACTGCCCATAAACAGGACGATCTATATGCATGATAATAACCCATATACCCGACTGTCCATATGCCCGACTATCCATATATCTGACTATCCATATCCGGCTAGCCATCTGCACGACAATCTAAATGCCCGACAAACCATATGCATGACGACCCATATACCCGACTATCCATATACCCGACTATCCATATACCCGACTATCCATATACCCGACTATCCACATTCATATCCATCCGACTGCCCATAAACGCGACTATTCATATGCAAGATAATTATCCATATAGCCGACTATCCATATACCCGACTATCCATATCTTACTATCCATATGCACGACAGTCCATATGCATGACTCAAAATATACATGACTATCCATATATCCGACTATCTATATATCCGACTATTCATATATCCAACTATCTATATACACGACTACCCTTTACCGACTACACACACATACGTCTCATCGGTTTCCCGCCTTAACCTGTCTCCCTGTGATCACTCACCAGTCGACGGGGTGTGGGAGCTCTGGTCCAACTGGACACTGTGCTCACTCAGCTGCGGCAACGGCACGCGCACCAGGAGCCGCGAGTGCACTGGGCCTTTCTACGACGGTGCGCCGTGCCCGGGTGAAGGTGATGAGCTGGAAGCCTGCAACACGCACAATTGTCCCGGTAAGGTCGAGCTGGTTCGGACTGCCTCTAGCTGGATGCGTCTATATACTATATACATATTACATAACATTTATATGTATATATTCTATATGTTTTTAACATACTTATTATTATATTCCGTATATTCAAAACATTCATATA